ATTAGAGAGGGAGGACTTTTCTCATAGAAAAGAGCACTGAAAAAGCTGAGCAGTGGGACACCCAGGACTGTTGGGGAGCTGAGTGAATCAGCCATGCTGCTCTGGTTCATGGTGCCATGGCTAAACTGGTTGCATCTAAACTAGCTAATTTAAAAGTGTCCAGGGCACCTCTGCACCATCCTTTCCTCCCTTCCATGACTACATAGAAAATTTAAAGGAAAAGGTGAAACAGAGTCTTTCTTTAATTTGTATCACTTAATGTTACTGTGAATCAGTATTTCAGAATCAGTAGAGCACACTGCAATGTTAAGATGTACAGATCTCAAGAGTGAGGCATAGCATCCTATCCCTTCTAATTAGCTTTGCTGGGATAATTGACTCTTGCTGGGCACCAGAGTTGGTATAGCTGTGAACTGACAATGCTATGACAAGGCAGGAGCAGGTATAGAGGAAAAAGGGCAACAGCAGCATCACACACCTGGGAGAGGGAGGCAAGGAAAGGGAGATCCTAGGAATGAGGGAAGAATACATGGAAGCAGAGATCAGAAGAAATGGAGGGGGAGGTCTGACAGACAAAAACAAAGGATAAAGTGGAAATGAGGAGGTACTCGTTCTGTTGTCTGTCTAAAAGTACAAAGAACCACTGGTTGAAGTTGATGAAAACTGCTAATTTCTAGTAACAAAGCGTCTGGGCATGAAATATTTGTTGAAGTTTTTTGTTTTGTTTTGTTTTTAAACTGTTCCATAGAATCTTACTGGGATATTTTTTTCCAGGTAACATGGGCAATTTGTCAGCCTTCTCTGGCAACTTGGAAGCAGGTGGGTACCTCTGAAGCAGCATGTGGGAACAAAGAACACAGTGAAGAGGCCACAAATGATCCTAATTTGCATAAAATTAAGATAGGAAAAAAAAAAAAAAACCATTGTTAAGGGTAAATGTATGGATTCTGATGACATTTTCCTCTCAGGTCATCCAGAGTATTCACTACAAACATACAGGGATGTTATTAAATGATGTTGACGTTGAAACTATATCTAATTCATGCATAGCATTGAGAGGGAATTAATGCACTCCCTCTTCTTTCTTCTTCTAAAGTTGCCGTGCTCATTTTCTATTTCCCTAGTATCAAATTCCTCCTGTTACATACCTAATTCAAGATAACCTTAAAAATAAAATAGTACTATTCATACCTCTAGTGAGTGACCCTGATAGTGTTAAAGAGGATTCAGCCAGACAGCCCCTGTCTTTACCTAACAAGTTCGAGGGTCTTAAACTTTTTGTTAGTATTTTCTTTCCCCACACATGATCCACCACAAAGCTGCTATCTTGGTGCTGCCTGCAGAAAGAGCTCCCCACCACAGCTGCCACTGATGCTCCTCAGCCCCTAGTTTCTACCCCCCTACAGTTCCCCAAAATGGCTTTTACATCCTCTGTAGGACTTAATATTTAAAACCAGTGTGTCAGCTTTCTCATTAATATTCACATTTTCAGACTCATAAACCCAACAGACACAGAGAAACAACATTTGGCAAAGAGGCTGGAAACATCACTTGTCCCCATTATTGGTTTCTCACCTCTCAGGGCAGCTAAAACCAAAGCTTCGTGTCACGTAGGTAGAATAACACTGTCACAGAGCAGGAACAAGTCATGGGACTGATGCAGCATGGTGACGCCAAGGATGGTAAGGGCTTTTTGGACACGCAGCCTGGCACGATCATGTCAGCCAAGAGATATGCAGCAAGCTCCCCTCTCTTTGATTCACAGACCTCCATAGGCCAAAGCTCCTTTGGGGTTTATCTAAATTACAATGCAATGGTTGCTTCTTCGTCCATAACAAGACTGGTGCCATTGGAGTTACAACAGATTAGTGATGAAACATTGTTTTTCTCTACAGAAACCTTTCTCTTTAGATCCTATCATGAGACCATCTTCCCATTTTTTGTTGGTTTTGTTGTTTGGGGTTTTTTTTTCCTACTTTACATTCTGTTTTCAACCAGTTTATAAAACAGAAATGTATGCTTGGGTAAAGAGAGTATGTGCTTCCTCAAATTATCTCAATCCCATTTTTAACTTTGGGTATAATTGTTACCCCCACTTCTCCAATGAAATAGCTGTTTCTAATTAGGAGAGGCATATTTTTGCTGCAGATCAGCTATTTCATACTAAGCTCCTTCAGAAATTTTCAATGTACCATCTGGAGCTGATGATTTGCTGCTTTTTAAATTATCGATTTGTTCCAGCTCTTCTTCTGACACATCTTGATTACCAGAAAAGAGCAAGTCCCAGTAGGTATTTCTCTGGTATTCTCTGTGCTGAAGAGTGATGCAAAGAAATAATTTAGATTCTCAGCAATGTCTTTATCTTCTTTAATTTCTGTCTTTAATCTTCAGTGATCCAGTTTCTGAACTACGTTAATTATTCCTACTCTTCTGACTGACAAACCTGAAACATTCTTATTTTATACCTTTAGCTGTTTGCAGTCCACCATATTTCCTTTTAATTTCCCCTTTGTCTAGTCTTTACACTAATTAATAAACCAGTGTATTGAAAAGCTAAGGTTAAATTTTCAAATTTGGAAGGATTCCTATTTGACTCAATGTCTCCAGCCCTGTCACTCAGTTGTACTGGTTTCCTCTTTACTTGCCTAATATTATTTTTGTTAGCAATATACACACTCTCCAGACTATATTATTGTTCTTAAGTGGAATGCCTGGCATCTTTAAGGGTTTTTCTTCTCATACACTTCCCTTGGAAACCTCCTTGACTAACCTTCTAGATATGAACAAAACCCAGATGTTCTGAAGTTCAAATTTCAGTCACTGTTCTATACTTTATTTCTCACTAAGCTACAGGACCATATTACATTAATATGTCTGTTAGCAGCTTCAGATGTAACCTTGTCTTGAATTCCTGCCTGTGTTTTGCTTTAGATTAAGAACCAAAAGTCAGAATATCAGGATTTAGGCACCTGAAAAAGGGGGAATTTTGATCTGAAATTCCACACCTACTAATGGCTCTGGCACAGGCTGAAAAAAAGGGCGCCTACCTCCTGGTTTAGACCTGCCAAAGACAGAAACTAGGCAGTAACTGTCAAAGCTGGCATGTGTAATCCATACCAGTAACTACCTGGTGATGGAAGCTGCTTTTCTGCAACAGCGTAGTGATTATAGCACTTGCTTCTGGACATGGAAAGGCTGCACACAAGGCAGGTCAAGCCAGCATTGCCCATCTCAAATGAAGCACACAGCGACCAGGCAGGGCACCAGGTGCCTGGAGAGAAGAGAGAACACACTCTCCTGCTTGTGGGGCAGGGCTCCTGGCTCAGAAAAAAACACAAGGCTTCTGGAGTGAAAGGAAGACTGATGCTATAGCTTAGTGGTTTGGGGTCTCAGAAGAGAGAGGTCTCCTAGGTTTGTGTCATTGTGCACTTTATTTTATCCAAGAGTTCAGTGCAAAATGGTCCCTAAAACAAAATATATAACTTATTCTCTGGTAGCTGATGAGACTCCCCTTTAATACATAGGAAGAACTTATCTTTCCTAGACAGAGATGTGCAGGACCACGTTGATCAAGTAAAAGTCATAGCCAGAACCATCTCCTGCTCACAGCACACACTCCTGAGGCCTGAGCTGGAGTAACAGCCAACCCCAGCCCTGAAACTTGAGAATTCCTCAGCAGAGCAAGCTGAACCGTACCTCTAGTTCACATGAAAAGTGAAGGTATTTGAACAAGCTTGCTTCAGGCTACTTTATTTCTGTTATGCTCCTTCCTAAACTGTTAGAATCATCTCCAGTATTTTCTTCTGGTTTCCTGCTGCTAACATACATAATTACTGCTGGACAACAGAGTTCCTCAACCTCTTCCCTACCCAGCTCCCTCCTCATGCTCTGCCAAACCATGCAGTAAACACACCCACCCACCCCACCCACCCCCAAAGTGTCAGCTGAGCTTTAAATCATTTATTGTTTGCAAGTAGTGGAAAAAAAATCCATCAACCTCTGGCCGTTGAATTGCTGTTAATGATTTAGGAAGAGAGGAGATGAAATGCAGCACAACAGACATAATCCTCAAATCCTGATACCACTGGCCTCCTGCTGGGTCCACACCATGTGTGGTTTGGCCATCCTCCCCATGGATGACCCTCTCCTCACCAACCACTTCGCTGCTGCCAGCCATGCTCACTTCAGCCATGGAGAGCTGGGTGCAACAAACTCCAAACGGCTTTGTAGCAGAATGGCAGCTTCACTTAACAAGGCCTTGTAAACCATTCAAATACCTGCAGGAAGCTTACTCTCTGCCTCTGTGCCTGAATGTAGAAAGACCTAATTTTGATAATACCCATTCAGATAGAAAACAACCTAGGTAGAAGACTTGGGGAATTGGAGCTGCTGATTTATATCACATATAAAACCCTGGTCACTGTCTGGTTACGCATGCAGAAACATTCAGAGACATAAGCCCTCCTGCAACTCTGGAAAAGACCTTTACTGAACTCTTCCATTAAATAAATATTCTGCAAATGCCCAGTCTGGGGACTTCGTGCTGTTACAGCCACTGCCAGGGCATCTGCTGACCCATTGCAGCTCCTGCTGTTCTTTTCTGGCTAGATCTGAAGCCTATGAACCCAGCCAGAGGATGCTTATAACACAGCAAATCAACAGAAAACATCACCACAGCTGTGGACCTCTTGCTCTGCTGAGACACCCCAGACTGCAGGAAACCCAGATTCTCCTTTGCTGCCTCAAATTTTCCCATCCTGAACCAGCTGCAGACCCGCATGCTCACTCTGGCCCACCAGCACAGGAGGGAGGTGGGTGCCTCGTGCCCCGAGACACGGGGCGAGGGTGCCCCGGTGCTGTGCACCCCATTGGGTGCTTGTGGCACCTCTGCCCGGAACATCCCACACTTGCTCTACACCGGAGGTGAAATGGCATCGCACCCCACGCTTGGCCCCGCTCAAGTCCTGGCCATGGAGCAACAGAGCCGCCCTTGCGCTTACCTTTCCCAGACACGTGTGTCTTGGGGACAGGCCGCCTCGGAGGATGGCAGAGGGAAGTTGGCAGGCAATAGGTCCCCGAGGAGACCCTGCGAGCGGGTGCGCTGCTCCCCACCCTTCGCAGCAACACAGTGGGCACCCGGCAAACGCTTGGCTTTGGCACGGCGCTTCTCAGGCAGTTGTTCCGATGAGGGCAATGAGCTGTGAAGCTGCTCCCAGACTCGGCATTACCATCTCGCCAGCCACGCAGTCCAAGGAAAAAACATCGCCTTCAAGCACTAACGTCATCTCCATCGAGTGCGTAGGGTTGTCTGTCTTGGAATGGCACTACATACCAGGCCGGGGTACGCTCCGGGTTCAACACTGACACCTTCTTCTCCCAAAAGAAAACGAGGACCCCAAAGAATAACAGGCAACACAGCTGGAAAACAGGGAGGACCGCATTGAAAGATGCTTCTGGGTCAGGGCTATGCCGCTTCCCCGGTTCAACAGCACCATCTCCTGGGTGGCCTCGGCCACTCCGCCTGGCTGCCGGCACCTCGCCCCCCCTTGAGCTCCCTCCCCAAGGAGACCCTCCGCAATCCTCCTCTGGAAGCCCGAAATTTTTTAGTTTATTTGCTTTCCTTTCAGGCAGTACCAATCTTCTTGCACCTGTTTCCTTTCACATATTTTTGCTTGTCTCTCATGGAGCATCACAGACAGATGAGTAAATACATGTAATACTGAAGAGTCCTAGATTCGGTATATTTTTAAAATCAGCAGTACAAGACATTCTTGAATACCAGCCCTAAAACTGGTCTCTTCCAAGCTGTGAAGGTTTGAATATGTACTCAGTCTCCATGGATCACATCCTTTTTGAAGTAATCACTGTTTCTCAGAGAATACCTAATTTTTCTTTAAGCAAAGAAAAACCCAAAAGAAAACATAACCTCAAACCAAAACTAAAAAAAACCCACCTAAATCTACCTGAGGAGCTGTTTATAGACAAGCAAAACGGTGGATAAACCCAGGAACATTAGGTTTCATAGTATAACCATTCAGCAGGGAAATCTTGTCCGACAAGTAGTATTTCAAAGATACTCATTGTAGTGTGTGTTCGAAAGCTCTAAAATGCTTGTTGAGATACCCCTGTAAAAGCATGTGTTTTTCACTCACTAGATCACAGGTTTAAGGCTAAAGGCTCTAAAACTTTATTCTTTCTATAGCTGCTATAGTAAAGCAACAAATCACTTCCCTGTATTTCAGATTATATTAGTCTGCAGAATGAAGATTTGAGTGCCCTATTTCACTGTTTTGAGACTAAATCATACACAAAATCCTTCAGGCTTTGAAGAATGTGCTTATATAACAAGCAAAAAAAAAAAAAAAAAAAAGTGTCATTCAATGATATTTTTTTTAATTCAACACTCCTCCAAAGCCCCTTTTAACTCAATTCAGTGTTAAATGCCAAAAAAAAATTTACAGAAGCTCATCTTTAAAGATTCTAAGTAAGCTTCCTGTGCAAAGTTTACATTAGAATGGGCCATATATAACTACAAAACCACAGAAAAACATGCCATCATCTCAGTGTATGTGTAGGAGCAGTATCATGGCTTTTTATGTGTAACAGCTGCAACAACTGAAAAAAAACAAAACAAAACAAAAAAAGCGTTGTTCCTCTGTTGTTTGCCAGAATTAACCACTTTAATTGGTAAAGCTGTTTGAAAGTTAACATTGCATTTGGACCTTGGATTCTTTTGGATTCTTGTAGCGTTCAAGACCCTTAGGGCAGGGAGGAGGGCGCACAGCAAGCTCACTGCCCTGGACATCAGGAGAGCAGACTTTGGCCTCTTCATGAATCAGCTTGTCAGAGTAGCATGGGATAAAGCCCTGGAGGGAAGAGGGGCCCAAGAACTCTGGTTGATGTTCAAGGATCACCTCCTCCCAGCTCAGGAGCCATGCATCCTGACAAAGAAGTCAGGTAAGAGCGTCAGCAGTTCTGCATGGATGAACAAGGAGCTCCTGGACAAACTCAAACACAAAAAGGAAACCTACAGAGAGGGTGGAAGCAAGGACAGGTAGCCTGGGAGTAATACAGAGAAACTGTCTGAGCAGCCAGGGATCAGGTTAGGTAAGATAAAGTCCTGACAGAATTAAATCTGGCCAGGATCATCAAAGGCAACAAGAAAGGCTTCTATAGGTATGTTGGTGTTAAAAGGCAGACTAGAGAAAGAAAGGAAGGAAACCAGAGACTTTGTTACCCAGGATATGGAGAAGGCTGAGGTACTCAACAACACAGTGTCATTTCCTCCTGGAAATTACACTAGGGCACATGGAAAATAAGGACGTGATTGGTGACAGCCAACATGGCTTCACTAAGGGCAAATCATGCCTGGCAAATCTGGTGGCCTTCTACAATGCAGTTACAGCGCTGGTGGATAAGGGAAGAGCAACTTATGTCATCTATGTGGATTTGTGCAAAGCTTCTGACACTGTCCCACATGACAACCTTGTCTCTAAACTGGAGAGACATGGATTTGATGGATGGACCACTTGGTGGATAAGAAATTGGCTGGATGGACACATTCAAAGATTTGCTATCAACAACTTGATGTCCAAGTGGAGAACCACGATAAGTGGCATTCCTCAGGGTTTGGTATTGTGAACAGCACTGTTTAACATCTTTGTGGGTGACATGGACACTAGGATTGAGTGCACCCTCAGCAAATTTGCTTACAACACCACGGCGTGCAGTGTGGTTGACATGCTGGAGGGAAGGGATGTGTCATCCAGAGGGACCTGGACAGGCTGGAGAGGTGGGCCTGTGCAAACCTCATGAAGTTCAACAAGGCCAAGTGCAAGGTCCTGCACAGGGGTTGGGGCAATCCCAAGCACAAATACAGGCTGGGCAGTGAGTGGATTGAGAACAGCCCCGCAGAGAATGACTTGCAAGTACTAGTGGATGGAAAACTGACTCTGAGCCAGCAATGTGTGCTCTCAACCCAGAAAGCCAACCGTGTCCTGGCTGCATCAGGAGAAGTGTGGCCAGCAGGTCAAGGGAGGGGATTGTCTCCCTCTGCTCCGCTCTTGTGAGACTCCATCTGCAGTGCTGTGTCCAGCTCTGGGATCCCAAGAGCAAGAAAGACATGGAACTGCTTGAGCAGGTCCGGAGGAGGCCACGAAATGATCTGGGGCTGAAGCACCTCCCTTAGGAGGACAAGCTGAGAGAGTTGGGGTTCTTCAGCCTGGAGAAGAGAAGGCTTCAGACAGACCTTCTAGCAGCCTTCCAGTACTTAAAGGGGGCTACAGGAAAGATGGGGAGGGACTCTTTGTTGGGGAGTGTAGGGGAGAGTAGGATGAGGAATAATGGTTTCAAACTGAAAGAGGGTAGATTCAGGGTAGATAGAAGGAAGAAATTCTCTACTCTGAGGGTAGTGAGACACTGGAACAGGTTGCCCAGAGAAGTTGTAGCTGTCCTCTCCCTGGCAGTGTTCCAGGCCAGGTTGGACGGGGCTTTGAGCAACCTGGTCTAGTGGAAGGTGTCTGCCCATGGCAGGGGGGTGGGACTAGATGATCCCTTCCAACCCAAACCATTCTACGATTCTTATGCCCTTACAAACCATCGCCACCTGCATATGCTTAAGGTAAACAAGGTACTTTGGAATTTACAGCATGTATTTTAACAGCTAGAGGAAAGTTTCTAGTGACTCCATCTTCAAGGAAGTCTAGATTATTTTCTCTGATTCCAAAGGTCTTAAAATATTAAAATCATCTGAGAGCAAAAGTCACCCTTAAAAGTTTTTCTTCTTTTTCTTTTGCTGTCCTGCAAGCATTTTTGCTGTCTGATTTAAGAAGTGATCTTCAAATCTTAACTCATGAATGCTTGTTGATTATATAAAACACCGTATGTTCCTCTCAACCTCAACCTACAACTACCACGAATTTTATACAGTATGATGGTCTTTCTAACTAAAATCTCCTTTGCTCCTGGCCTACTGCCTTACTTCCAGGGAAAGAAGGCATGTGCAAGAAGCTGGATGATAAATTTACAAATCAGAAACTCTTCTCTCATTCCTAAATCAGTCAGGACATAGAAGATTATAATTCTGCTTTTGACACTTTTAGTACATCTTAAATCAGTTAAAGTCTGAACATAAAATGTGAGTTTGGCATATACCTTTCAAAAATAAAATTTTAAAATGTTGAAAATAAAACTTGAGTCCACTTAGTTACTTCAGTCCTATTCTTGTGTGTAACTAAAACCTGTTTTCCCTAAGAGATTATGTCAGGATAGGCCTCAAGTAGTTAAATCAGTCAGGAGTTTCTATAGCCATGATCAGCAGTGCTTTAAGACAGAACTACTCAATGAAACAAGCAGCTTCTCAACAGAAAAGTCAAAACCAAATAATGAACAACAGCCTCTCCCAGAGCAGCGTTTTAATCTGAACCCTTTGGGCCAAAAAGCAAACTCAACCCACCACCCAGTACAATTAACAATCTAAAACCTTCCAACTCTCTTTACCTTTCTTTCTTGTCTTTCCATCCTTGCTCACAGAACCTTTAACAGGTAATGCATATCTTGTAACTAATGAGTTCTTCCTTCTTACACAATCCTATAATACGGATATTGAAAAAACCTGTGTAAGAAGATCTGGTTTCTGCAGAAGGCACATGCAAATCAGATTAGACAGGGATTTATTGCTCACACTGCCAGCTCTGCTTTTTAATATTGGCCTTCTTAGATGCAGGCACCGACAGGGCCTTGATGGGATTGTTGGTGCTAGCTCAGGAGAGATTTTCCTTGCTACAATTCTTCGATTTCATGTTCCCACACCTGACTCTTTTCCGTGTGCTTTGTTAGCATTAGCATCCTGGAAAAATCTTGCTGAAGATTTCTAGCCCACTTTTTAAAGATAATCACAGAACTCGGTCAGAACATGAAAATAAGCTTCCATGTCAGACCCAGATAAAGGCACTTGAAACATTTCAGGGCATTTAATCTGTATAAACGGGTTTTTTTTCAGAGTAGACAAGCAATTAAGAATATTGATCACATTCAAACATTTGCTAGCAAAATTAAGGCAAGGAAAGGGTCATTAGGGCTGAGAAACACACTTACCATGTAACCCATTAAGATGTCATCAGTGTTCTGGAGCTGGCAGCACCGTACAACAAACCTTGATCTGTAGAAGCCCTGCAGGTGGCAACGCTCATGCATAGCTCTGATGCCTGCCTTATTCTTACCCCTGCCCAAACCCAAGACCAGGCAGTTTTGCTTCTTTCTTCACCGAAGATGGCAAGGACAGCTCCCCAGCTTTGCTTTTGGCTATCCTCAGCAACTCCAGCCAGCCTTCCCAAGCCATGTTCCTGAGCACAATTACAGTGCAGTAATTACAAGCAGCAGTGCCAGTGGTTTTTCCTCATCATTCCCCTCTCCTCCTGTGACAAGCTGCTCCTCCTGGGGGGAAAAAAAGTAACCCCTTCCCCCTGAGAACCCTTAGCATCCTCCCAACCAGGGTCTCCTCATGGAGCTTTCCAGTGAGCACCAGCTCCCCACTACTAGCTCAGCACATCCACCAATTATCACTCCAGACTCCAATATTATCAGTTGCCTTCCCTCATTGCCAAAGGCCTAGAGTAGAGCAGATGTATATCTCTCATCAATGATAGGCATGATTTTTTTCTAAAAAAAATCAGCTCATTTGCAGGAACATCCTTCTTGAACTTGGAAGCACGTGCTGCCTTTTGCCTCTAGTTTAAGGGACAGCAAAAGCTGACAAGAGTAGTGCAGAATACTGCCCATCTTCTAAAACAATCAACCCAAGAACCAGTTTCTCAGGGAAAACACTCTTAGTCAGCTCACAAAATAAGCCTCTTTGTGAGCATCTTTTTCAATTTAAGTATCTAGATGGTGATTTTTCTGTTGTAGTTGGATTAACATGAACATTTATATAGATGTAATATGCAAAACAACTGTTCACACACACAAAACCTGGTAAGATGTGACTGGTATGGGACTGCAAACAGAAGTCACACTTTATATTCCCACTCTTGTGGCTCTGTGAACCACACTTCATGGTACCACTGCTGCTTTTACTTGCTCAATCACAACGTACATTTCAATCAGGCAAAGGACTGATATAAAAACTACTATGTTATGCAAAACTTAACCAAATAATTATAAACTATTAAGTCTAAGGAGAATGAAGTTGAGAACACAGAAAAACTTTCAGAATTTTAGTAAATGTAGGAACTCATGCTGGGAGAAAAATTTTGCTTAGAGGAGAAAGACGACTGCACATACTAAAGTTACCTTTATGTTAAACTACTAGCAGATGGTACTGAAAAATATTCAGCTATCACAGAATAATATAGAACCCTATGAAACAGCAGATTTGGGCTTTTATTTTTTAATAGATATATTTAGTAGTCAGACTAAGTTAACCACGGAAGCAGAAAATAATTTAATCTTGTTACCTTATTCTTTGTTTACTGTGTACATCCCTTTTAGTAGGTCTTCTGACACAAAAAACCAACGACTTCTGAATTTCATTTTTCTAAAAATCATTCTATATTCAGAATAGCAAAAACTACTTGTGAAGGATTAGCCATAAGAAAGCTTATTTAATTTGAATTCAAAGAGAGGTAACACTCAAATACTTATAACTAATCTTCATCTATACCTAAAGGGCTGCATTTCATGAATGGGAAGTGGTAAATGACCAAAGAAGTCTTGCACTCGTATCTCCGTGCCTAACAGCCACAAGTAACTGCCTCAGAGCACAACTTACTCATACTCAGTGGTCATTCAGTCACCTCTGCTGGTGCTGGGCAGCTGTCATGAACACGTGAACACACAGAGAACCTACACACCGTAATTAATCTTGGTGATGCTGACTGCATTAAAACCATACAGTAACCAGTTTGGCAAATTCTGTGAAGAACGTACCATTATAGTTTCTCCACTGGACAGCTTGCTCAAGTGGCCAGGAGAGCTTTAGAACTGGAACTTGCACCAAATCTCTCATCTACAAGTTCCAGTCCGGATTTCCTCTTCACTGACCAGTCATAATGTATCCTTTCTCTAGAACACATTTTCTATCCTATGCAGTGGAAAACATTTTAGGTTTCAAATCAAAAGTAGTATCAGTTTCATTAGTCACTTAAAATAAAAAGGAACTACCGTAGACAATCAACATAAAATATAGTTTATTTCCAATAATTTGCCTAAATCACATGCAAACTGATTTATATTAATAAAAGTAAACTACAGTTAGAAACAGCTTGGTTAGTTTTTAACCTTAGCAGTACTGCTGTACAGCTGAAGCTACACTAGTTAACATAACTTGTTTTCACTTAGGGAACATGCTTAAATAGCTACTGAAGCCTTCAGAGACTTTCCACAAAGAAGTATTTATCTATTCAGTAGCCTTGCTGCTGCACTCATCTTATCTACATGAAACATGTCATCTGTTAATTCCATGTTTGAAGGCCATATTCTTCAGAGCACAGCAGTCAGGAGAAAATAATTGGAAATACAACAAATATAAAAAGATAACTTGGTAACTAGAAAATAATACAAGATTACAGTAGTAACTGAAGTATTCTCCCATACTATTTCAAGCTAGAATACTGAAGCCTTAAACAATTCCCACATTTCAGCACTGACAAAGAACTGCAATACACAAAGTATATAAGCAGGGGAAAAACTGCTTTGCGAGAGGTAGAAAAGGTTTTATAAAATCTTTAGGCACAATTCTTAGCAATCTTTTAAAAGCCATCAGAAAGTTACAAAGTAATGATGACCATTATACATGTATTTGTACAAGTTTGTTTATTTTACCCTTTGGAATAAAAGTATATTTCATGCACTCTCATATAATCTTTTTTCTCCCCTATTGTTTGAAGACTATTTTTCTCCTATATCATATGTGATTACAGAAGTTTTACAGGGTCTCAGGAAGTCATCACAAGGAGCTATACAGAAAAACTGATACACTACTACTAAACACTTTTTCAAGAAGAGCAAGGGAATGCAAACACTGTCTGCGTAGGTTTGTGTATCAAAGAACAGAGAAACACACACACACAAAATCCATAAAAATATTATTAGTTCTTTTGGTTTACTCCTACCTCAATCCAGAATAGACTGCTTTTAGAAGTGAACTTTTTCTTTTTTTAAACACATATTTCCACAAATGTATGCTTTACAGTGCAGTGGTTATACTCAAATTTTCACAATATCTGTAAGTCAAAATACCAGTATCACTACATTTACCATGAGCTAACAGATATTCACAGATAAATCTTAGTGTCAGTTCAAAAAGATGCCTTCTTTGAGCTAAAGTATATAAGGCTTTACTGGTAATAAGTTCTTATCGAAGATCTGCTTTATTCCCGTGACAACATCTTTTTTTTTTTTTTTTCCTCATTTTACTTTTTGTCTTGGTCTTTTTCCGCATCCAGAAGTGCTGAACGGATTCCTAGCTTCTTCAGCTCTTCTACAAGATCTCCATTCTGATGCATCTGGAGGAGTATATCACAGCCACCAACAAATTCACCATTGAGGTATACTTGTGGGATGGTAGGCCAGTTGGAATAGTTTTTTATTCCTGCATAAGAATAAAAAAAATATTTAAAAAATTATTAAAGGTTTCCCCCTCTACAAATAGTATGGTATTTTAAACAGAATACATTGTTTCCTCCTGACAGCACTACTGACATTTTCCTTTCCTTCCCAGTGAGGCAATAATTTATATAGATAACAGGAACACTATCAGAAAAACTACGTTAAAGTTAGGTTTGGTTCTCACTCCAACTCAAAGATATGGGTTGAAAGATACAGAGTCAGCTCCTATACAGACTTCAAACAGAAGCTGGGAAAATGTAGCGTCTCTTTTCCCTCCAAGGAAACAAGCAAATTTGATTTTTCAATCAATTAAAGAAATGAGAAATATTGAAAAATATTAAGAACTGTTTACATTGTTATCCTTTATATTTCCCAAAGGGACTTTCAAGTGGTTTATGTTCTTACTGAATTCATACAGTTGTACTTACTACTGTAATTTCAATTGCAAGATACATTCACTCCTCTAGAAGCCTTACGATTTTCAAATTGCTTTATCTTTCATTGCCAGACCTTACAGCCCATGGGAGGGGCACAAAGGCTGAACTCTAAAAGTACTCATTAAATGGAACAGAGCTCGAGACACAATTATGAAGTATAGAATTAAAGTTTAAAACTATACTTCATAGAAGACAAATGTAAGACCATCCAAAAATATTAACTAACCAGCTGATACTGAATGCCAACTTGCACTTTAAGACATCACACAAAAATTTATACAGAAGAATGATTATATCTGTTTTGCCATTTTTCAAATGACCCTTCACACGAAGCCATTATTTCTGTAGCAGAGGAAATAATTAAATTCTACACTGGCGTGGCTTTTATACCAAGTCCACCAGGACTTGCTTAGATACCAAGTTTTGAATTCAACATTTTTTATACATCTTTAATATGCAATGCCTGGAATTTTTCTACCAAAGGCATGAAAGCCCATATAGCAAATTTAAGACTACAGACAGGAGAGGTGTCTTTGCAGATCATTAGAGCCCATTCACCCTGGAAGTCAACCCTCTAAACAAGCACCTGCAAGCTTTAGTATAGACTGTCAAAGTACTAACAGTAAATATTAGCCCTGTATAGCAGAAAACACAAGGGAATTTGCTTTCCCTTTAGAAAACATTTTAACCTCTAAAGACTGTAAAGGTAAAACCTAAAATATCTGAGGTAAAAAAATAACCATATAAGCAAACTATGCTTGCTTTATTAGAACTTAAACTATTTTAAAATAAATATGTATAAGTGTATAAATACACAATGGGATTATGATTTTAATGCACAAAAGATGGCACAGAGCTAATAATGACCCTTAGTCAAATAAGTGTGTTTAAAAAATCCATTAAAATAATAGGAATTCTAACAAAAATTTGTTTTAAAAAAAAAAAAAAAAAGTGTTGCTAACTATGAAGTACAACATCAGCTAGGAGATTTTATTTTGACTTCAGATTTTATACATGGACAACCAATGCTTCAGAAGTCCAAACCAGCAAGTTTAGCATATAAATCAATGCCAAAGGGAACCCATAACCATTTAACCTAATCTCTAGCACCTGTAACTTCTTCCTTAGTATTTAATTAAAACCTTGATACAGTTTGCAGAAGTTATAAGCTTTGATGTCAATTTATGTTCAGCAGTACTTTTCTTAAACACTCCTTGGCCTTTGAGCACTCAGAAGTGCTCAAACTGTCCTAAAAATCTTTCAGTTGCAATGAAAAACTCGAGTGCCAATATTAAGACATGCTTAAGGATAGCCCTACTCGAAGAAGCCACTGCAGATACAAACCAGTTTGGTTTTGTTAAGATACTGTAATGCTAAACATGAGTTGAGAACCAAGGGCTCAGCATAAACCTACTCTAATAAGCATTCCAGGGTAATATTTACACCAATTATTCTTTCACTGAAATATTTTCTTCAAGGACCCAACTGGAATTACATACAAGCACTTAGAGTAGTTGTGACTCAAGTGCCTCTACAACTTCAAATAAAAATATAAATACAGTCAAGCTTAGTTGCTCTGTGTACTGCATTTCACATACTGGACAAGATGCTTTAAATGCCTTTGTGCCAGGGCTCAAACAGATTACAAACTGAACACCTCCTGAACCTGCTAACCAACTCCTAACTTAGTAGAGCAGTTACTGATACTATTTCAGTAGTGTTAAAGCAAATTAGCCCGGTCTATGCTTGCTGCACTAGGGATGCACTTCTGTGATCGGCAGCACAGACACCCCAAGGGATCTCCTTCCTGCTCCCCGCACATCAACACTTCCCACTGCACGGCAGAAGCTGCAGATTCTGCTTTGAAGCACTGTTTGCTTTGTAAAACCACACTCCGAAGATCAGGTTTACAGTTTGACAGCTGAGCTAGCACGTTTTAAGGTGGCTGTGACACCAAAATCGGTGCAAACTGCTACTGAAAGGGGTACCTAGCACACTCCCACCCCATTTCCCGAAGTCTAGTTACCAATTCTCAGCCTCTCTCTTGCCAGCATTAGCAAATTAGCATTTGATGGGCCACATCAAAGAACTGACTCGAGCAACCACTCTCACTCCTACCACACTTTCTCCAGAAAAAGCAACATATTTTCATAGAGATCGTTAGTCCTGGTGCAAGCACGATTGAGGGAAAGCTAGCCCAAGTGGAGGAGGAACGATCAAGACTACCCTCTCGGCAGCATCCCATACGTAAGTAATGCAAAGCAGCAGTAAAAATACTCTGAGTGTGAACTACCACAACAGTTGAAACCATCACTTTTCCGGTATGCAGTCCCAAGCTTCTCTGCCACATTACTGGCCTGGACCAGCCTAATGCTGGGCATCAGCTGAGAGCAGGACCACTTGTGGTACCACCAACTTAGAGAAACTCGAATAGCCGTGGAACCAGTCCAAGACAGAGTGCTGAGGTCTCTTAAGCAAGCTTTAATAACAAAGGATCTGGATCAGGGAAGCATATCTTCAAGCTCAAGTTCAGATAAATCACACAAAGTACCAATAACTATTTATTTTCACAGATCTGAACGTGCTTTTAGGTGAAGAAGCAAGCAGGGGAGTTGTTCTGGCTTTACAGCTTGCCACATTTCAGTGCAGGGCAAGTTTCAGCAGTTGAACAACCTGAAAATAAGGTGTTTCAGTAGATACAGGAAAGAAACCAACCATCACTTCATACATGGCTGAACCACCATCTCTGCAAACAGCCATCTCTTACTACAGATGGTGTAAGCGCACATATATACAAACATTTATGTTCAGCTGAATACAAAACTGGTGACCAGCTCGCATACAGTAATATCCTTGCAGATCAATCTTCAGTTGAGCAGATGTATTAGATATTTTCACAGTTAAAGGCTCAGCATACCCTCAACTAACCCCACATGCATGCAGTGCAGATTATGTTCACACAGAGGGCTTAGGAAAGCATCACACACTGCATATCTAACTTTTCAGCACCTGAGAGCAGCTCCCAGGAGACTAAGAGGCAGCCACTGCTGAATCACACTTGGCAACTTGCAGAGCTACAGCTTCCAGCAGCCCTGCCCTCTCTGTCAGACTGCTACCCACAGAAGCAGGCACATACTGGCTCTTTAGGATACAGTAGGTAATACAGTTGAAGCAACTGACAGCCTGCTGGCCTTGAAAGCAGCCATGTCATTCCCCAACTCTTCACTTCAAGACTGGCTCTGGCTCACCTCACAGTACAAGCTAGTTTAACTTGCACATCTAGTGATCAAGTTTAAAAAAAAAAAAAATAGAAAAAAATCAAGCTAGCTCTCCGTGCCATCAGACAAGTGCCAAAGCTGGTGCATGGAAGGGAACAGAACAACTTCTTTAAGCACCTGAGAACCAGCTGAATATTGTGCAAGTGTAAACTCTGTTACTGCGTTCAGCTCAGCTTAGCCAAACAGAACTATTAACTTCAATTTAAAGCTCAGGTAGCCGGAAAGAAGTAACCTCTCAGATCACCAAGCACAAGCCAGAGTTCACATGGAGGAAACAGTTGTGCTCAGGAAGCTGTTACATAAGAATATTATATATTCACGTATTCATATATTCAGAGATTGTAAGTGACAAACACGTTGCCTGTTCAAGGGCTCACAAAACCTCTCTCAACCAAAAGTGAAATGCTGACAGTTTGATTTCAAGGTTTTTGTTTCTTCTTTTTTAGTTTATAAGTTTGCTCTAGTAAATGGTAAGATTATTCAAAATAGATATGTAAATGAAGTTTAGAAAACTACCATGATTTGCTCACCTGCCAAAGGCAGTAGAGGATTTACTTGAACAAAACCCAACATTCATTAAAAAGAATGTAATCACAACCAAATTCCACTATTTAAGTTTTTACACCACACCGACTGCTACACCTGTGAACTGAAAAGCAAGCAAGATTGGAAAAAATCTGCCTTTTGGCTAAATGCTAATGAAAAACTGAATTAGTCAGATGACATCAAAAACACAGAAGGAAGTCACTTGATATGTGCCAGCATGTGGCTTTAAAGCACATTTTAGTGTATTCCAGACAAGAACTGTTAATGCCATGCACCTTCACAACGAATTAATATGTACTTTTGTCTTTGTTTTAAAACTTTCTCAAATAACCACGTAACACCTTAACAGTCAGCGACGCACAAGGGGGGGAAAAAAAAAAAGCATTATGAGAACAGAGTACTAGCTTTCTACAATTGGTAAAATACTTATACAGAGTAGTTCCTACCACTTGAGCAGTAACAGTGAAACTATTACTAAATATTTCTTGTGCAAGTGATTAGCATAGTTTTGTACTTTATCAAGAGAGCACCAGCAGACAGTGGCAGCAGGGAATAAAGTGGTACAAGTCCAAGCCATTAAGTTTCACCATACTGTTCACAGAGAACAAAAATAGCTGATTAGATAATGAAGTATCTTAGGGGTCTTTTAATGCAGCTTTGAATCAATTAATTAGGTAAGGCAGCATGGCATAAAAAGCCCGATCTCCAGGAATTACCCCGTAAGCACGACTGTCTTCTGCAGATAACTAAAACACTCTCACACACTGTCAGGGTTGGACACAGTAAGGGCTTACAGAAACCAAACGGGGACGTCCAGGCAAAGTAACCTCAATAGCTCATCTCTGCGATACACTTCAAATCCCCCAAACTCCGGACTGTAGGCCTGATTATAAACCAAACCAAACACCCGAGAGTGCGAGCAAAGGAGAGTTACACCTGTGAGAAACGGGCAGGGCAACCCCGACCTCCCAGCAGGGTCACGCACGCCGGAGCCTCCCGAGGGTCTTCCCGACCGGGAAAGCGGTACCTCGGGGGTCTGGCTCTGCGCCGGAACAGCGGCGTTTCACAAGGGGAAGCCCTGGACCGGCTCGGGCTCTGTGCAAGCCTCAGTCGCGGGCGAGACGGCGCCCAAAGGTGAACCCCGGCAACAGCCGCGCCCGGCCCCGGCCCGCCGCTGACCTTGGCGGAGGTCGGGGTCTTGCAGGACGTCGTGAGCGCGGTAGTCCTCCACGCCGTGCAGGCGCAGGATCTGCACGACAGCGTTGCTGAAGCCGCAGAGCGGCTGCGCTGGGCTGCCCTTCATGAACACCACCACCGGGTGCTCCCGC